GGAAGAGATAGTTGAAAAGCTGTAGAAAGAATATTTCCCAAACAGTAAAGGAAGAGAAGATAAGCATTCAAGAAGCTGAGTGAAACCCAAGCAGGGCAGACCCCAAAGGAAAAATCAAACTCTACTAAATCAAAGACAAGAGATAATCCTGAAAGCAGCTAAGGAAAAAAGGAAATGTTTACCTACAAAGGAAAGTCAGTAAGATTAAATTCTGATTTCTCAGACTGCGGTTCACAGTCCAATTCATAACCACTATGCTATCAGAGCTCCTTCTCCAACTTCCTAGTCTGCCTTAATCTGGAAGTTCTACTTCCAAATGGGTGACCATGCTGGTATTTAAAATACTGATGGCATAACTTCACAGAAATCACCACCATATAGCAAACTGACAGACAAGTGATTTAAGCTAGTGATTCTAAAAGTGTTTGTTACCTGTGGAGTTTTGGAGATTTGAGACCCTTTCACGGGGTCCCCAAAGTAAAAACTATTTTCATAAAAATACATTATTTGCTATTTTTCATGCATTGAGATTTGAATGTATGGTGCAAAAGCAACATTGAATAAAACTGCCAGCACTGTAGCAATGACTACAAGGTTGTTGTTGTAATTAAGTGCTGTTGAATCAGTTGCGACTCACAGCAACCCTGTATAGAGTTTCCAACGAACAGTTGGTGGGTTTGAACCACTTACCTTGAGACTGAAATCAACTTTGTGGTCTAATGCTTTATCCTATAGCACCACATCAAGACTCCACAAAGCGCACTAATACTTGTAATGCAGGATTGTGTGTAAAAGCATTTACCTGCATTATCAGTAATAAAATTAACCTACAAATACAAGAGGGCTGCAAAAACTCATTGAAAAATGGAATTAGAAGATAATGGAATTTCCCCCCACACTTTTTGAAGCCCCTTGGTACACAGGCAAACTTTAGAGATGAACAGGTATGACTGGGCAGTAGGAACTATACACACAACCATGGTATGTACAGGTTTCACTATACATTATCTTTTTGTTGTTGAAGTTTCCTGTGTTAAAGACTAGTCCCTTGTCAGATATATTGTTGCCAAATATTCTTCCCCAATTTCTAGGTTCTCTTTTTATTTTTTCTGGAGCAGTCTTTTGACACACATAGGTATTAAATTTTTAGTTTATTTTCTGCTGACTGTTAACTTTTCATTTTTTATCTGATAGTCTATTTATGCCATTAATTGGGACTCCTAAATTTACTGTTATTCTGTCTGATATTTATAATTTCAGGTTTTATGGTTAGATCACTGAGCCATCTTGAAAAATTTAAGAGCTGTTGAGTCAATTCCAACTCATAGAGACTCTGTATAGGATTTCCAAGGAGCAGCTGGTGAGTTTGAACTGCGGACCTTGTGATTCAAACCTACCTTGCAGTCCAGTGCTTTATCTCAATGCCACACCAGGATTCTTGAATTAGCGTTTGTAGTGAGTGTGAGATATGAATGTTTCATTTTTATGCAAATGAACATCTAGGTCTGTCAGTACCATTTATTAGAGAATGCCTTTTACCACTTCATGGATTTCAGCTCTGTCAAAGTTAATGAGTGGATTGATTTCTTGGTTCTCAATTCTATTCCATTGTTCTGTGCCTGTTGTACTAGTACCAGTCTGTTTTGATTATCATAGCCATATGGGTTTAAGGCGCCCTGGTAGTGTAGTGGATTATGAGCTGGGCTGCTACCCTCAAGGTCAGCAGTTTGAATCTAAGTTATTCTGTGGGAGAAACATGAGGGTTTCTGTACCCATAAAGATTTACCGGGTCGCTATGAATCGGAACTGATTCAGTGTCATACAACCACCATAGGTTTTGAAATCACAAAATGAGACCTCCTATTTTTTCTTCATCAATAGTACCTTGCTTACTCAGGACCTCTATCCTTTCCATATAAAATTTAAGTGAGTATTTTTTCAATCTCCTTAAAGAATTTTGATGGAATCTGGGTCGGGACTGCATTATAACTACAGATTGTTTGGATAGTACTGACATTTTCTTCAAAATGTCAAGTCTTCCTACCATGAGCATGTTATGTTCTTCCATTCATTCAGGTCTCTTTTAGTTTCTGGTAGTAGTTTTCGTTTTCTTTGTACGAGTCTTTTGTATCTCTGGTTAGATTTATTCCTGAGTATTTTAATTTTAACAATTCGATGGCACTTAACAACAACAAATTTTAATTTTGGGATTGCTGGTTGTTATGTGCCATGGAGTTGGTTCCAACTCATAGCAACCCTGCATAGGGGTTATGAAGCTATAAATATTTACAGAAAAAAGCCTCACCTTTCTCCCGCAGAACAGCTGGTAGTTTCAAACTGCTGACTGAGATTCGTAACTACTACCCTACCAGAGGTAGCTACTATAAACAGTGTTGCTTTCTGGAATTCTGTCAGTGTCAAGTAATCCAACTGATTTTTGAATGGTAATCTTGTTCTGTCTGCCACATGGCTGTATTTTTTTATTAGTTCAAGTAGTTTTCTTTTTGAGTATCTGGGATTTTCTATATGTAATCATATTACCTACAAATACAGAAGTTTTACTTCTTTCTTATAAATCTGGTTGACTTTTGTACCCTTTCTTATCTTACTGCTCTAAGTACTTCAATATAGAGTTCTATAAGTGGTACTAGATAGCATTTTTGTCTTGTTCTGTTTGCAAGCAGAAAACCTTCTTGCTCCATTAATAATGTTGGCAGTTGATTTTGTGTATATGCTCTTAATTACATTGAGGAATTTCCCTTGTTTCCATTTTGTCAATTTTCACCAGGAATGACTACTGGTGTTTACCTAATGCCTTTTCTGCTTCAATTGATATGATCATGTGGTTCTTTTCCTTTATATATGTAGTGGATTATACTGCTTTTCTAAATGCTGAATCATCCTTCCATACCTGGTAGAATCATAATTGGTTGTGATGTATTATTTTTTATAAGGTGTTGTAGAGTCTATAACTAGGATTTTGTTGAGAATTTTGACTATGTTTATGAGGGATATTGGTCTCTAACTTTATTTTTTCAGTGCTGCCTTCAGTTTCAGATACACTTCAAATTTGAAAGCATTCTACAATTTTCTATGTCTGGAAAGTTTGTATACAACTGGTGTCACCTTTCTTCTGAATGGTTCTTAGAATTTGCAGTGAAACTGTCTGGGCCAGGACTATTTTATACTGGGAATATTTTTTATGACTTGTTCAAATTTTCTACCTCAGTATGTGCTAGTTTAGATAGGTTGTTGAGTTCTCAGAATATTTGTCCATTTCTTCTAGGTTTTCAAATTTTTTGGAGCACAATTTTTCATGGTGGTAAGTGCCGTTGAGTTCAGTCTGACTCATAGTACTGCTATTTTTTAATTTTTGATTGGCTCTGCTGTGGCATCATTCATTTCTTATTCATACTATTTGCTTCTTTTCTCTTTTGACTCCACTGCACATAACCATCACCACCACACCACAATGCTTTTTCTATGTATCAAAGGTTTTGTATGTTGTGTTTTCATTCTCATTTGCTTCTAGAAATTTCATATTTTATTTTTTCTATTATCCAGCAGTTTTCAAGCAGGGTGTTATTCAGTTTCTATATTTCCCTCTTGCTCTGAGTTTGCTTTCGAATTTTTTAGCATGTGATTCTAGAAGCGGCTTTCAATTACTACAGTGCTTTAAAATGTTACTAAAGTTGTTTAGTGGCCTCACATATGGTCTGTTATGGAGAATGATCCATGTGCACTAAAAAAGAATGTATATTGCATTTTTGTTGACTGGAAAATTATACATCATTTTTTCATTCCATTTTTCCATACTTTTTGAAGCCCCCTCATAAATATATCTGAAGTCAAGCTGGTTCATTATGCTACTGAGCTCTTCTCTATCTTTACTGGGTTTCTCGTTGTTCTGTCCATTGAAAGTGGTTTGTCAAAGTTCCCAACTATTATTATGGAGCTTTTCATTTTTCTTTTCAATTCTGCTAATGTTTGCTTTATGTATTTCAGGGTTAGTATTTTTTGCTATTGTTATTGGTGGTGGTGGTAGTGGTGTGCTGTGGAGTAGGTTTCGACACACAGTGACCCTGTACAGGGTTTCCGAGGCTGTAAATCTTTCCAGGAACAAAAAGCCTCATCTTTCTCCTGCAGAACAGCTATCATTATTAAATGCTGTCAAATCAGTTCCGCCTCACAGTGACACTGTATAGGGTTTCTGAAGAGCTTCTGTTGGATATAGACTGCCAACCTCGTGGCTAGCAGTCCAGAACTTATCCCAAAAATTATTTTTAAATTTCTGTTATGGTAAATATCAACAGATGTGACCCATATACATAAAAGCACTTTGAGGTCCTTAATCATGTTTAAGAGTGAATAGGGACCTTAAAACCAAAAAGTTTCAAAACTGCTCGCATTTTCTGACAGGTGGTGCACGGTACTTTCTATTACTGATCATATCAGAAAAAAACATGATACCTGGTGTTCCCACACTCAGTGTGAAGGCTAATGTTTCACTGAATTAGCAAATTGCTATCAATCTTTCCTCTAATGGTTTTAGCATTCTTTTATGTGTTGACAATACATATTATCTCCTTAAGTGCTAGAAAATAGTGATTTTCAATCATTCCTCCTGTTGTGAATAACTATAAACAACAGTGAGCAATGAAGTTTTATTCCTTTATTTGATGTGTCAATCCATTATCATCATTGTTCCTTTTGATGCTCATACTCATGTTCAATCTTTGACCAGTGGAAGCATTTCCAGTTTTGTACTTAAGACACAATTTCAACCATTTTTGATAAGCTTCTTCAAAAAGATGGGTTACCCCAGGTTCTTTACCCATATTGCAAATCTATCAGGATTGTTTATAGACTAATTTTTTTTAAATATCCATCGTCTGCATAGCCTTTAGATAACTTGCCAAAAGTGTCATATTAATGAACTCCTTCACCTAGCTGAACACAAATCATTCTTTCCCATGTCCCATGCCATTTATATCTCTTACCAGTACAAACTAACTTGTTAATTCTTCCCTTTTTCCACTTGAGCAAATCTCCACCTTTACCACATCCCAGGTCCAAAACAGTGATATGTTTTTTTTTCTGTCGCACTTTTTCTAAAAATTCTCCTAAAAAAGAGAAATTAGTCATAATAAACGATTTCTTCTTCACTTTCACTAAACTATAAACCATTACCTCTAATAACCTACTAACCTCTGCCTAACACATAAACTATTACACTTTCATTCATAAAGTTAATTAATAACTTTAGTAAACATTTCAAAATGCAGCTAACAGTAAATTAATTTGTTCTTCTAGCATTACACTAAACTCTGTGTGTGGCATTCAAGAAAGTTAAGACAGTTTTTTAAAGGTTGCTTTCAGAATTCAGGCCAACATTAAACACCAGACATTTTGAAATTCTAACTAAGCCCCAATACATGTTCACGATAAGCTTTAGCTTTCTAAAAGCTAAAGCAGATAACTTATTATACCTCTAAAGCTAAAGCTAAGTACTTAATTTATTATTGTTATTGTTGTGATTAAGCGCTGTCACGTCAGTTCTAACTTACAGCAACCCTGTATAAGGTTTCCAAGGAGCAGCTGGTGGGTTTGAACCACTGACCTTGTGGTTAGTTGTTGTTAAATGCCATCGAGTCAGTTTCAACCCATAATAGACATGTGAAATAACTTGTGGTTAGTTAGTGATTAATTCTAAAACTTGACACAATACTGAATCCTAGATTAGCTCCCCATGTCTTTATCAATAATTGCTATTTCACATATATGTTATTTTGATGGCTAGGGTATTCTGTACATACTTCTTTTCACTGACTGTAAGACCTTAAAAACAACAGCACATGTGTTCCATATTTAATTTTCTGCCATAAATCTTGGAAGGAGAAACACTAGTATTGAAAGAATGAAAAAAGTAACAGTAATTATAAAATCCCTTAATTCCATGCATTAAGACTAATGAGAGGAGAATCATTAAATATTATTTTCCAAGCTATCTTAATCACATTCAATAGCTATAGAATAAACACTGAATTGCTAACCACATGGACAGCAGTTCAAAGTCACCGGCCATTCCTTAAAAATCCTATAAAAAATCACTATAAACTGGAACTGACTCGATGGCACTTAAAAACAACAACATAAGCACCAAAGAGAATAAGCAAATGAATGGCAGAGATTGAGTAAAAGACAGAGAAGCCTGACATAGATCACCACACTGCAACAGACCTGAAAGACAAGTACAGAGAGCAAAGCCATCATGGATAGAGTTGGTGTAACAGCTGATTAGGAAATGATATAAAAATATGTTGAGAGATAATTTTTTGCTAACTCTGATTTACTGTTTTTAAAAAATCTACCTTTTTTTCCTGATTATAAGCCATAATAAATATAAAATGTGAAAAATATGTTCAGGCTAAATAATATTTACTCAATTAATAAATCATGAATAAATAATATATCATAACAAATTCCCAAAAATAATTTATATGTATCATTGGAGGGAAAAAAAAGAGAAAAGCTGAAAAGAAATAAGAACTGGAAGAGAACTTTCAAGAGTTAAGGCTGAGAATGCCTTAAAAAAGAAACTTACCTTAGTTGACACCTGGCAAAGTCAAATAAATATTTTACTAATAAAACATGAAGATTAAAAACAAAGGTGGGATAGAAAATATTAAAATATACTCAAAATAGTGAGCCTGGTTCCCACTATAACACTTCTCAAAATTGATAATTTATCTTTAAATTAGTAAAACATCATCAAAAGTAATAGAACCAGGAAAAACCAGTTGTTGTTGAGTAAATTCAAATACATGGCAACACCACGTATTTCAGAGTAGAACTGTGCACTATCAGGTTCTGAATGGCTGATTTTTCAGAAGATCACAGGTCCTTTCTTCATAGGAGCTTCTAGATGAACTCAAGCATTCAACTTTTCATGAAGTCAGAAGTCATGCACATTAATCGTTTGCACCACTCAGGGACTCTTTTAATGGCCTAGAGGTTTTAACAACAACAAAAAACATCTTTTCCTGAAATTTTACTGATTTAATGTAACCTTAATATTTAATCTAATATAGTGTCTATGCCATTGCTCCAAAAGTATTTGAGTGAAATGGAATATTTAGATGGCACAGTGGTTAAAGTACTCTGCTGAAAATGGAAAAGGTTGGTGGTTTGAACCCAGCAGACAACATAGTGAAGAAAGATGTGGCAGTCTGCTTTCTGGAAATATTCATATCCTTCAAAACCCTATGGGACAGTTCTACTTTGTCCTACAAGATCGCTATGAGTCAGATTTGACAATGACATGGGTTTGTTTTCGTTGTTTTGGAATGCTATTAAGCAGTTAGTCAATTATTTATATCAATGAAGCACTTGTTACTTAGAAACAAGAATAGTTTTTGCAGCCAAACAAAAGTAAACATTAAAAGAATTTATCTCAACCGCCTACTTTCAGTGCCAATTTTATTAAATTAAGGTTTGATAATTAAATGCACAGAGATTAAAGACCTAGGAGCTTGAAAAATAAGATAAAGTAAAAACATAAATCTAAAACAAAAATCAAAGAATAATCATACCAATGAGGACACTTTTCATCCAATTATTAAAGTTTCTTAGATAAAAAATACGACTTTGGCTACGTTTATCCAAACCAACTTCCTGAAGTTCGTTGTAATGGGCAGCTACTGCTGAGCTATGTCCTTTCAAGCTCTGAAAATAAGCACATAGAACAAAATTAAAAATCAGAATATGGTTAAAAATAAATAAATAAATAAGGAGCTCTGGTAGCACAGTGGTTACGAATCGGGCTGTGAAACGCAAGGTCAGCAGTTCGAAACTACTAGCTGTTCCGCGGAAGAAAGATGAGGCTTTCTGCTCCCATAAAGATTTACAACCTCGGAAACCCTGTACAGGGTCGCTATGAGTCGGAACCGACTCCACGGCACATAACAACAACAAGAGTTAAAAAATAAGCTTAAAAGAGCATCTGACCAATATAAGGGAAAAAACACTACAGAAAGTCTTAAAATTCACTAACAATGCCATTAACCAAAGAAATCCTGACAATTATAATCAGCAGTTGCTTCCCCTTACAAGTTAAAAAAAGAAAACAAAAACATCTTTTCCTAGAATTTTACTGATTTAATGTAACTGGGTTCCTTGTAGTATAATGGGTTACACATTGGACTGCTAATCGCAGGGTCAATAGTTCAAATCCACCAGTCACTTCATGGGAGAAAGATGAGGCTTTCTGCTCCCATAAAGATTTACAGCCTTAGAAATACAGGGTCACTGTAAGCTGGAACCGACTCGATGGCATACTGCTGCAGCATGTGTGTTACATTAAACAACACAAATGTCCTGGTATGGTCCTGTAGGATAAGCACTAGACTGCTAAGAACAAGTCAGCGGTTGAAACCCACCAGTAACTTCTCAGAAACCCCACCCAGGGTCACCATGAGTAGGAACCAACTTGACTGTACTTAACAACAAATGCAACCCAAGTATTTAATTCAATATAATGACTATTAAACTATTAGAGTGAAGTTGAATGTTATTAAAGTGGTTCAGTGATTAAAGCATGCTGCTGATAACTGAACAGCTGGTGGTCTAAACCCATCAGTAAGTCACCTCATGGAAGATAGATATGGCAATCTGTTTTCTGGAAAGAGTCACAGCCTGGGGAACCCTAGTTTTAGAAACTTCACAGGGTTGAATATTTTCTTCTTGATGTGCATAATTTTATTATTATCATCTTAATAAAACCAATACTATTCCAGAGTTCTAATTTATTTGACAAATGACAATCAATGGATAGAATTCCTACAAGGTAACAAAGTAGATGTAATCATAGCAATATTTTCATTTTATTATAAAATTGTTGCAGGGATTAAATGAGATACTATATGTAAAGGAATTAGAACTCAACAGACAATGTTCAAGATTAACTCTGTTATTATTTCAAGCTGTTAACCCCAAGGCCCTAGATATTCAGTAAAAATGCTATGGCAGGAAAAGTTTCAGCTCCCTTTCTTGACTCTTTTTCAACTAAAGAGACTCACTCGTCTTTCACCCATCTCACATATCAGGTTTGAATAAAAGACTTTTTCACTTGAAAAACGGGTCTGCAACCAGCAGAAGTTTGAAAATGACAATATAAGTTCCCCTATTACAAGGAATTTTACTCTATCAATAATAAACGTGTAGCCTTTCTGTCACTTTCCTCTTCAGGGCTAGTAACAAAATTTTACTCATTCATCAGAGTACTTTTTCTCTCCAATTACAGATTCTGCCTCAGATTACTTTCACAACATGGTATTCCCAGGTGTAAATCTATCCCCTTCTCTAGAACAACTCTCCTAAATATCTTTTGCATCCACTTATTTAATGGCACTGTGGATTAATGTGTTGGACTACAAAGTCAGTTTGAACTGCAAGGACAGCAGTTCAAGCTCACCAGCCACTCCTCGGAAACCCTGTATAGGATTGCTATGGGTGGGAACCGACTCAACTGCACTTAACAACAACAATTTAAAACTGTATATACACTATATTAATCAAAGTTAGGCACGATATAATTCTTTAAGCAATTACATTCAGGAATGTAAAGCTAGGTATGATTTTGGAATTTATCTAAGTGATGACTTCTACTAATTCACACACACAAAAAAGAGAAAGAGATGAACATCTAATAAAAAAGGTAAACCATTTGGACCTTATAGTTTGTCTTTTATTAGAAAAAGCCAGCTAACTTTCAAGTTTCTAGTCAAACAAGCATTCTGAAATAAAACAAAATTAACTCATTAGTAGGGTAAGTTTCCCCTTAATACAAACAATTATGAGTTAAAAACCTGTCTTAAGACCACATCCTTTTTAAAATAGAACATTAAGTTATTAAGATTACGTTAAAAAACAAAAACCAAAAGATAGTATTACTCCAGAAGTGCCCCACATTTCAACTTGGCATATTACAAAAGAAAATACATTCAACCTACTTTTTGTTTTCCAGAAACATCCTCAAGTTCTATTTTTCTCTTCAGCGGAGCACTATCTCCAGTGGAAGACTGATTTGTTGGAACATCATCCGCTTCTATTCTTTTCTTTGAAATGTTACCATCATCTCTAGTACTTTTCTCTAGAACAACTTCAGCATTAAGTGTTCTTTTTTTGAGTGAACTGTCTACCCAACAACTGGAATCTTCCTCTGTAAGGTCATCTTCAAATCCCATTTTTCTCTTTCTTGGTGTGACTACTGGATCACAGGTAGGAATCTTTTCAGAAATCCCAGTCTCAGAAGCTGTTGTGTTTTCATTAATACAAAATGAAGACTCTATTTCAGAATTTACTAATGTGTTTGTGTTTTCATAGTCCTCTGTTTTTGCAGAATTTTCCATTTTGATTACTTGAGTTGATGGTAAAATTTCACAAATCAACACTAGAATGGTAAAAAATTGATACTGTTTTTAAACAATAAAGCTGAGGCTTTAAAACAATTTAACTAGACACTCGTCACTTAATTTCATTGATCAAATAAGAGTTTTACAAAGTCCCATAGTGGCAATGGTGGTGTTGTTAAGTGCCGTAGGTTTCGACCCACAGCAACCCTGTATAGGGTTTCCAAGGAGCAGCTGGTGAGCTTGATCCGCTGACCTTGCAGTTCAAATAGCCTGCGCCAGACTGCAAACCCTATGTTGTTGTTGAGTGCCGTCGAGCTGGTTCCGACCCACAGAGACCCTGACTGAATAGAGTTTCCAAAGAGCGACTGTTGAGCTTGAACCACCGACCTTGTAGTTCACACGGCTTTGCAGTCTGGCACATTAACCCACAGAGCCACACCAGGACTCCTATACAGGGTTGCTATGGGTCGGAATCAACTTGAAGACACTTAACAACAATAGTGGTAATAACACTGAAAAATGTTTAATATGAATTTGTGAATGATAATACTAATTCTAACACAGGATTGCTAAGAGTTGGAGCCAATCCTGTGGCACTTAACAACAACAACAAGGGAATAAGGAAAACTAAGTTACTACAACCTGAGTTAGGGAAGGGTTTCAAAGGTAACTGAGAAGAGCAAATGTTAATATGCTCAAACACTAGCCAAAAAGGCTGGCAGTTCAAACTCAACCAGAGGCATTTTATAAGACAGGCTTGGAGATCTGTTTTTGAAATATCACAACCTTGACAATCAAATGGCACACTACTCTACTCTGATACACATGGGCCACCAAAAGTCAATGGTAACTAACAAAAACCCATTCCGGTGTGGTGCTGTGGGATAATGTACTGGACTGCAATGTTGGCAGTTCAAATTCACCAGCATCTCCTTAGAAACCCTATATAGAGTTGCTATGAGTCAGAATCGACTTGACAGCACTCAACAACAACCATCTGTAGCAAAATAACCAAGTGCCAAAACAGGAAGAATTGAATCATTGAGTAAAAACAAAAAACACCCCAAAAAGAATTTTACAGAACTATTTAAAATTATTATCTAGTTCCATAGTGGTTACTATGAATCCGGCTGCTAACCTCAAGGTCGGCAGTTCGAAACTACCAGCTTTTCCATGGGAGAAAGATGAGGCTTTCTGCTCCCGTAAATATTTTCAGCCTCAGAACCCTGTGCAGGGTCACTATGAGTCGGAACTGACTCCACGGTACTTAACAACAACAACTACCTAGTACAGAGTCCTGGTGTGGCACTGTGGGAATGCACAGGACCGCAAGGTCAGTCTGAACCGACTCAACCCCTTTTAACACCTTAAAATGATTATCTACTCCTAGATGAGGCTTTCTGCTCACACAAAGATTTACAGCCTCAGAAACCCTGTACAGGGTGGCTATGAGTCCGAATCGACTCCACGGCACATCACCACCACCACCACCAACAACAACACTCCTGGTGTGGCCTGTGGGTGAATGCGCTGAACTGCAAAGTCATTTGAACCACAATGTCAGTGGTTCAAGATCACCAGTCGCTCCTTGGAAACCTTATACAGGGTCACCGTGGGTCGGAACTGACTCGATGGCACTTAACAACAAGTACAAAGTCCTGGTGTGGTACTATAGAATAAGCACTGGATTGTTAACCGGAAGGTCGATGGTTCAAACCCACCAATCTCTCTTCCGAAACCCCATACAGGGATACTATGATTTGGAGCGATTCCAAGGCACTTAAAAAAATACCCAGCACAATTCACCATCAAATTACCAAAGTCCTATCACTTCTTGTTAAGCTATTTGACTCCAAATAAAAATACAGTTTTGAAACTGGTTTTAAATTCAAATAATGGAAACCAATACAGAAGGGTAGAACTCCTTAGGGCTCCTAAGGTTGACCGCGGACTGCCTTATATTTATCCTGCAAAAGCTTGTGGGTTGCAACCACTGGTATTTCCCTTAGCAGCTGAACGTTTAACCACTGTGCCACCAGGGTTTTTTAATTCAAATAAAGCCATCTATCTTCTTTAGCTAAATTTATACTTATTGCCAAAAACTAGTATTGAAACAAGTGTGAATTGTATTTACATTGTTGTTGTTGCTAAGTGCCATACAGTTGGTTCTCACTCGTAACGACCCCTGTTCAGGGCTTCCAAGGAGCAGCTGGTGGGTTTGAACCGCTGACCTTATGGTAAGTAGCCCAATGCTTATTCTACAGCGCCACAACAGGGCACTCATTTGGGTGTTGTTAAGTGCCGTCGAGTCGGTTCCAACTCATAGTGACCTTATATAGGGTTTCCGAGGAGGAACTGGTGAGTTTGAACTGCCAACTTTGCGGTTCAAACCGACCTTGGGGTCCACAGCGAATCCCACAGTGCCACACCAGTTTAATGACTGTAAGTCTCTTTCAAATAGTGTCCAATAGGAATGGAAGGAAAGTGCGGCACTGGATGCTCCTTCAGACTTGAGTCTCAACTGCGCCCATTTTGCTTTGGGCTGACGGCACAGTAAACCCCACGAGACAGGTACGCAAGGCATAGGGCCAACGCGAAGCAAGCCCAGGTCAGGAGTCGAGAGTCTTTCTATCTCAATTAGAAAGAAGGGTTAAAGACAAAAGCAAAGAGAAAGCACAGGGCCGAAACTACAGCCACACTCACCAGAACTAGAATCCACAATTCTGTTTACCGAAACTGCGAACACTACTTCTGAGGCTTTGTGACATCATTACCGGTGCAAGAGGGGTCACGTGACACCGCTCTTGAGCGGAAAACGGAACTTCGCACTGCCTCGGCGCCAGACTACGAGGCCCAGCGTGCCACGCGCTTGTTGGGGGGCGGGCGGCTGCGAACGGAGTGGTGGAGGGTTACCCACCTTCTGCGCCTTCGGGCTTTGCAACTGACCCAGCTAGCCAGGTCTTGGCTCGGAGGCGGAAAGGTCTTCTCTGAGGAGTGACACCCTTGCAGCATACAAGTGGCTGTTGCCTAGTCTGCGGCGGCGGCGGCGCAGTCAGTGAAGGTAGCTTGGGCCCCGACCTTTGGGACAGCGGGAGGCAGGGAAGCAGAGGCGGGAGAAAGCGTAACCAACTGCCGGCTGCGCATCAACCCAGGGAACCCGCAGCTGTGAAGGATCTCTGTCTTTCCTCGCGGGGCCGCGACCCTAGTAATGCTGTTTTTGTGCTTGTTTCTCAACCTCCTGCCTTGTAACCCTTCGCCCTCTATTCCTCCCCTCCTCCCAGCTGAGGAAGGAGAAACGGCTTCCCCTTAGGGACTGGCAGGTCAACTCTGCTGCGGTATTTGGGACGCCCTCTTTCGAGGGAGGACGTTATCATGACGGACTCCGGAGGAAGGGGCAGGTTGTTTCTTCTGAAGCGTCTAAGAGCTCTATTTAGGCTTTGCTGTGCTGCTTAGGCTGTCGTATGGGTTGGTTGCGGAAGTGCAACACACGTTGTCCATCCCCTCAGATTTCCACTGAAGAGTCAAGGGCACCTTCTGTATTAAAACTCAAAGATCCATAGTTGGACTTTCAGCCCAAGATTAACGTGAAGAAAAAAAAAGTCCCTGTGGATTAAGGCAGATTGTTGTGTGTGTATATATTAATGTTGTATATCAGCACCATCCCACTTTAAGAATGTAAAACTAATCAGATTTGCAATCCATTTTGACTAATTTTAATAAGAAATGATCCCGTTAATAATCGATTTGAACATGTGACGCTAGCTGTACTTTTTATCAGTTTAAAAAAAAAAAAAAAATCCATGGCCATTGAGTCCTTTCTAACTCTTTCTTGTTAAAGTGCCTTCAAGTCAGTTTGGACTCAGACCTTGTAGTGTGGAGTTACTGAATTGCCTTTCTAGCAGTCAAGGGCTTAACCATTGTGCCACCAGGGCTCCCTGTATGTCTGTATTAACGACTGTCTTTGCATTAGGGAAGGCAAGATTTGCAGCATCTATTTTCCAATGTCGCTTTTGTTGTTGTGTACCATCGGATCAGTTCGAACTCATAGTGACCCTCTAGTTTTTCCAAGAATGACTAATAGGTTTGAACTGCTGACTTTACGTTTAGTAGTCCAGTGCTTATGCTAGAGTGCCACACCAGGGCCCGTAGTCTTTATAAATTGTAGACATATATTCATCTGTGTCAGTAAATTGTGGACATAAAGCTCAAACTTTGAACCAAGAATGAAAACTATTTTTAACAGGTGAACAAGCCATCAATTTCAAATGACTGCATGTGGTTTTTATTTTACTATATGCAGAAACAAAGTTAACTTCAGTTAATGAACAACTTTTGAAAATGGTATTCTTATATGCCATCGTGTCCGTTTGGACCTATAGCAACTATCTAGGATTTTTGAGGACTGCTGATCCTACAGTACTACACCATATTTGCTAATTCTGATGGTATTAGTTAATTTTAGGCAAAATTAATCAAATTTTGACTTGAAAGGTATTTTTCTGTGCTTATGAAACTCTGAGATGAATTGATACATTAAATGGGATATCTATCTAGACGTTGAGAGCACTGTGGTTCTGTAGGATAAGCACTAGACTGTGAACTACAAGGTTGGCAATTGAGCCCATCAATCACTCCTTAGGAAAAAGATGAGGCTTTCTACTCTGGTAGGGTAGTGGTTACGAATCGGGCTGCGAACCTTAAGGTCAGTGGTTTGAAACTACCAGCTGCTCCGCGGGAGAAAGATGAGGCTTTCTACTCTGGTAGGGTAGTGGTTACGAATCGGGCTGCGAACCTTAAGGTCAGTGGTTTGAAACTACCAGCTGCTCCGCGGGAGAAAGATGAGGCTTTCTACTCCTGTAAAGATTTACACCCTCGGAAACCCTATACAGGGTCGCTATGGGTCGGAACCGACTCGATGGCACATAACAACAACTCCAGCAAAGATTTACAGCCTCAGAGACCCTCTGTATACAGGGTTGCTGTGAGCCTGAACCAAC